TGCCTTAATACGTGGGTTCACGCCTTTGGCGCGAAGCACCCCCCCCACAGAATCAGCATCTAAACAGCTGAGTTCAGCCATCTAAATCAGCCACATGTTTAATTCTATCATCCGGAAAAGTGAGGAATGCCCGTGTGGCTTCCACGTGACAGACTTGCAAACATCTACGGCTTCACTGCTTCGTGGATCCTTCCCAATCGAATGTACGAAAACAGGCCACCACCTTACTTGTGTTTAAACAACTCGCTTCCTGAGCGGATTGGTCAGAAACAGCTCGCGTACGACTAAAATGGTCTACCCAAAAGGTGACTAAAGTCGAGGAACTCCGGAAGTGAGGCAACATCTGCATCCAAACCGCTCAACCCGCTTGCCTGGCGCACGTCCACCGGCACCAGGGGATCCTTCTCCTCCGGCCACGGAAGCTCGCGGCCCAGTGGCAACAGGGCCATGGCTTTGAGAGGATTTGTTCTTGAAGAAGTCTTTTTTTGGGGCTGTCTTGAAGCCAGAAAATCCGCCGACCCTCTGCCTCCCGTCCCAGCCAGCCGGTCCCGATCAAGTCCGGTAAATTGCTGTGGTGCGACCTCAAAAAGCTCCAGAAAACTTTCCGGACTGGCACCCAGGACACTGGACAGGGTCCCAGGTCGTCACTGATTGCGACCAGTTGAGGGGGGCCAACAGCCTTGTTTCTAGGACCAGCTCAACGTGACTTCGGCACAAACCGGCCCGTGCGGTTATTGACCGACGAGCTGTCATCTGTCTGACTTTTCCGTTAATCCTTGTGGTAGTAGAGGATCCATGGATCTATTCTGCAAGAGAGTCCAGTACGTCGAGTCAAACCGCGCCAGACTGGGACCAGCCTGGATAGGGTCCCAAGTCCCAGTCCCTGCCGGCGACCGGTCCAGGGCAACTTCGGGAGGGCCAGTTTCAGGGCGACCCTGGAGAGGCGCCAACTCGAAGAGACTTGGGCGCAAGCCGGCCCAAGCGGTAATTAACGGACTAGCTGCCCTATTTCTGACTTTTCCGTTAATCCTTGTTTGTGGTCGTAGAGGATCTTCTAAGTCCTTGTGACTTTTCCCTTAATGCGCCGAGGGTCGGCGGCAGCAGGCGGGAGCCTGGTTAATCCGGCCACCGGACGTGATCGGGCCGCAGGCCAAAGCCCGTTAGGGCTTACCTTCAGGTATAAGGCCGCGCGCCCCATGCCGCCGACCATGAGCGGACCATGCGCAGAACATGCGCATACGTTTTATGCTGGGCCCTCCCTTATAAGGGGCGAAGGATTTGCGGATTTGTTTAAGCGATTTTTGAGGAGTTTTGTAGCATCTCCCCGCAGAGTCACAAAACGAGCGCTTCTTGGGGGGTGCCTAATACTGGACAACACCCCCAGCATTGCCAGCATCATTCCGGATGATGCAGATGATGCTATGCATGCTGGCGATGCGAAACAAGGGGTTGAGGGGAAATGCAAGGAAGCAGGAGTGACTGGAAGTGAACAAAATGAAAGTCAAAGGAATGGCACGAAAAATGGGGAGGGCACTGGAGAGAAACCGAGATGCAGGAAAATGCAAGGGCAGAACGTGAAGGGGACCGGACAGAATGCGAATAAAGGAGTCTTCAAGGAAATGGAGGGAGCTGAAACGGCAGTGAAGTGGAAGTGAAGGGACATGCCAGGAAACTGTCAGGGAAGACATGCAAAGGAAAAGTTCATTCAAATCATCCCGAAAACTAGCAGGACTTGGAGGGAAAGGAAATCAAAGAACGGGAAGGGGTGCCCGGTGGCCGGCTGTGTCGCGTCAGCGTGTAAATAAATAACAATTTCATGGTTCACACCACTTTCACGATGAACGCAGAAAAGCCATGTTTGGCACAACTGCAAATGTACTGTGCGCTGTAACGTAGAGATATGTATGTATGACGTATGTATGTATGCATGTATGTATGACGTATGTAAGTACGCATGTATGTATTCATGTAAGTATGTAAGTATGCATGCATTATATGTATACATTATATGTATGTATGTATGTATGTATGTATGTATGTATGTATGTATGTGTGTATGTATGTATGTATGTATGTATGTATGTATGTATGTATGCATGCATGCATGCATGTATGTATGTATGTATGTGCGTACCTATGTATGCATGCATGCATTTATGTATGAACAAATCCCTTGATTGTATTGGCTGCTTTGTGGTCACGACAAAGGACTTGAAGCGCTCAATCCCAGTGAATGGACCTGCCCAGCCTCCGTCGGAAAAGCCATGGCGCACAAAGAGGCTTAGGTGCGGGGTCGGGTCCCGCTGGAGAAAAATACGTGGAGCGTTCTCAAAAAAAGGTGCCTGCTAGAATCTGGAATGCAGTCATGTTCAAGGGGTCGCTCTTCATCTGGTTTTGAAGCTGGATCCTAGCTTTTGCTCACTTTCTGAGTGGATTGGCCAAACCAAATCAAACCTGGCTTAGCATTAAGGTCAGCAACTTGGAAAGTAAGTCTGGCATCCCACGTTCTCTTCCGCGCGTTTGTGAGCGCATGCCCCCCTTATCCGCAGCCTGCCAAGCTGATCTCGGCGGGAAAACGCCGCCTTGAGCCCCCAGCTACCGGCCACTGACGTATCCAAACGCCGCCTCTTGGCAACTCCCAATTCTTTTCAGGGCGACGTCATCGAAAGATGAGTTGCTTATTGACGCTTGAGTTCTTTTGATACCTATCCACGTTTGTGCAAGGGCAAGCGCTTGAACTTGATTTCCAAACGTGGCTAAGATTTCGTATTGGCAACATGCACAAACACGTCCCGGCAAAAAAAGAGCGCTTTCTTTCCGAATATTGACGCGGACGTGCGCATGCAAAAATCGGTCCCTTCATTCAGTTCCAAGCAAACCATGCACGCCAAGCCTATGGCCAAATGGGGAGGCGGCGTCACGTGGCCCGCGCGTTTTCCCTTCAAAATAGGATTGTCATTCCTGGCTGACACGATCACTGCCTGTTGCTCGAGTGCCTCCGCCCGTTTGCCAGGTCCCCACGGTCTTAGTTTGTCTCCCGCCTCTGATTTGTCATCTCGCCGTGACAGAGTGTCCAAACGTCATAGAGAGCATCCAAAGCACTTTGGGGGCAACAGCCAGGCTTCAGCGAACAAAAACTGAATGGGACAAGTACTGCCGAAGATTGGACATGGACTGCCCGTAAAGCAAACCAAGAATTCTAGGGTTGATGCCCCATACGATTGAACCAGTGCTCTTTCCAACAACCGGTCCTTTTACCTTGCTTTTGAGTGGTTTTCTGGAGGGCAAAAAGGATTCCTGGAAAGGATAGGGAAGTTGGCCCTAGAACCATTGTTGGGGCCCCCTAAAGCAAGCCCCGTCCATTTTGGGCCTTTCAGGGTCCCCGATTCCTAACACATGGCATTCATCCCAAGCACAGCGCACCATGGCCACTTTGAGTGCGCAGCCATCTCCGAAGTCTGCATGGCCTGCGCGCAAAAAAGACACCTGGCTGTGGGTCAAAAGCAATGGGATCCCATTTGGGGATTGGGATGTTCACTGGGGGTACGGGATTTTGACCCATGGCCACCTCAGATCTTACTTCCCCTTTAAACATCACGCCACCGAAAGGGATATCAAAATGTGAATTGGGCTAATTGGCAACCACCAAAAGGGGATTGAAAATGACCCCTGGTTGGTCAAAAGGGATCAAAAGAGGGATCAACCCTCTAGAAAAACAGTTTGGACGCGCTTTTGTGGATACCTGTTCTTCCCTGTACCTTGCAATGCAGAAACATCACATCGAAATTGCTTTCCAACATCCTACTCCGTAACCCATGGTGAGACACAAGGGAAATTACAAGGCCATCTGGCAGGATCTCGGAAAGTTCGGTATAGCCCAGGGGCAGGGTCGCAATCTCAGACTTCCGTCGATGAATTCCCTCGAGCACCGGGTCTGGTCCAATTACTCATCGCCTGGGACCACCAGGCGCCACGGGCGCCAGGTCCCCCCACGTGCGAGCACCCCGGTACCGTTTTTATACGATCTTTTATACCTACCTTTTCTTTCGCCGGGAGATCTATACACACCCTTCTTCCCTTCTTAATTTGTTTCAGTCGGTCGTCTTCAATGAGTTGATCCGAACTCCGGGTGACTCATTGCGGCAAAGTGAGGCAACAGCGGGCAGGTCTTTCTCCCCACTCTGACTTTCAACCCCGCGGGCTTTTCCCTGAATGGAAAAGAGTCCAAGCCAAACTCCAGCCCCAAGAAACACCCATGGTCAGGGAACACTTTGGCTCACTTCCTGAGTTCGAATGGGGAACCCTCACACGTCCTATCAAAGCTCACTTCCTGAGTTCGAATGGGCTGAAACACATACAAACAGCTTACCACCAAAATGCTCCAAACCCCAAAATCTAAAGTCCGGAACTCCTGGTCCCTGATTTTTTCCCGCCAGAGGCACCCAGAACACCGAGACACCCCCGCCGCCTTCCAATGGGAGCAGCCCTTATCCGCGCCGTTGGCGATATCGATGTGTGAGGCCCGGAGGTCCTAACCGGAGACTTCCACTGGGGTTGTCTCCAGGTTTTCCTTGTGGTTTCCCCTGAAAACCACCAAACAAGCCTTCCCTCAAAATAGATAGATCCACCAGAAAATAAAACAGAAACATGCTTCTTCTCGCCTGAAGCATGCACCTTCCGCGCTGGTCAAGACTCTCTCTCTCGCCGCAGGAAAAGGCCAGGGACAGGGAACCGTCCAGGCCGCGGCGACCTTGTTCTCACCGAGCATGAGCATCAAAATGAGTCACGTGTTTCGGCAGGCAGATTCATTCTTGGAGCTTCCATGCTGCAGGTGACAAAGGTCCGCTGCCAGCGACTCCTAGGTGCGAGCTTTCTGTATCATCCAGGCGACCGCTGCCACTCATTGCACGTGGGCAGATGGCATGACAGAAAAGAGGCCGCATTCCAGATCGGAATAGTTGGAACCCTGGTGCGACATGTGGTAGGTCGAGCAGGATTGTCACCAAGCGCGGGCTTTTCAGAATGGAGGGCCGCTCCAAACAATAACCACTATAAGAAAGACACCAGCAAGGGGACCCCTTTCTTTCTTACCCAAGTTGTGGATAAAGGATTGGCCTTGCACAGCCCATTCCATGGCCCGATGGGCCCATATTCACGATCTCTTTGCTTTTGGCATCCCCTTGTGTGGGGAAGCTGCAAGTCATCCACACGTTTTCCTGCGGCTTCTTGCCAGCTACAAAAGCATTCTCTACTCTCTGCAGCGCACGAGGTCCAACGCCGCGCCTTGCCCACAGTGTCCGCAAACGACGAAAACTGCGTCACCTTCGGGAGGCGAGCTCTTGCCATGAGCCCCCGCTGTCCCCTCCAATTTTACTGGGAATTAAAAGCCCTCCTTCCCACTAGCACTGCGGGTCTCGAGGGAGTTGATCTTCCAGGCGCCAAGGTGCGGAGGGCAAGCAGTTTGGGACAGTCAGCTCTTAGGAGCCCTTCGCGCCCTGGACCCAAGAGGGAATCCGTCGGGGGAAACACCGCCCCTTTTCGTCCAGGTTTCATCCGTGTTCGACGCTACGTAAAACGAGCAGTGACCATGCTCCCTATAGCACAAGCCTGTTCACGATGACAGACAGGCTCGCGGCCGCAAGAAGATTCCCCCTAACGAGAACGGCCGTAATTAATTCCACTTGGCGGTCTTCAATGGGGCCGTGGGGCAATGCCACTTTGAATTGCATTCCAAAGATAGCCTCCCCGCCAAGACAAGAGAAAACATTGTCTAAGGGGTTGGGGGTGAAAGCGGAGGAACGCCTGCGAACACCACAGGCCCCGGACCCAATTTTCGTACCGCGTCTCGCGCGAAGGGTTTTTTTGCGCTCGCTCACCAGTCGAAGTGCCTCCAACCTCAGAGGCGGCGCCCAGTATGACTCACTTGCCCAAGGATCCGACAAAACGGGACCCTTCCAGCAATAAATGTGGAAGTGCACAGGGCCTGTTTCTAAAGCAAAGCAGACTTCCGACAGACATCTGCGCACTGCCATGTTGTTGTCGGGGCAGGGGAAGCCTGTAGGGCCAAGGACGAAAACTGAAAGATCACCATGCCTATCTGTCAAGGGGATTTGGTCAAATTCTCGTTGAACCATGAAACGGCCCCGTGGCAACACAATGCGCTGGTTGTTGATCCTGTATTCATATTGTGTCATGCGCTTCATCCTTGGGTTAAAGCATTTTGTAGGGTCCGCCTTTTGACCCCAGCTTCGCAAAAATCAAGGCCCCCCTCTCTGTGGAGGGTTCCTTCACTGTTGGGGGTTCTTGGTTCCCTCTATTTCTGCCATCTCTTTGGAGGTTGCCCTCATTTTAGTGTTTTGGGGTGGTTTTCGGCTTCCTTCAATTTTTCAGCGCAGCCGATGGCAAACCCCGCAGGATTGCAAGACGCAAACAATCCCGGAAAGCCAACCACAAGCAAGTTGTACCAACTGCAGGGTTGTGTTCGTGCTTCTGTTGAGGCTGCCCTTTTTCTGGTTCTCGGAAAACCCCAGAACAAACCAGGGCTACCCTTTTTCTTGGATTCTTCTTGAGGCTACTTGCCTTTTGCCGGCTACCGGAAATAAATGCTTCTGTTTGAGATTTCCGGAAAGCAAAACACAACCAACCGAACCAAAAAGGAGCTGGCCCCCAACCAACCTCCAGGCCGGCTGGCTCGACCCGAGGACCCGAGCAGTGGTTCATGGGGCCCTGGGGCCCGCTTCCCAAGGCCAGCTTGGCGGAGCAGGCGATGGCGCCGCTCACAAAGTCTTTGGCCTCCTGGGAGCATCGATAGGCGCTACAAGTTGTCCAGATGTAAAACGGGATGGGCATATGCTTACACACTTGGTCAATTTGTTTCTATTCTGATCAGCTACATTTGACCAGAACGAAAACTGGAAGATATGACCAGAACCAAATATTTGACCAGGCTAGGATAGAAGATATTGAAGCAACTTGAGCAGAATAAAAGGGTAGGTTTCAACATACTGAAACAACTCGACAAGCAACTTGTCCAGAACATGTAAGGGATGGGCATATTCTACCTACACACTTGGTCAAGTTGCTTCTATTCAGCTAACTATACCATACTCATACTATTGCGTGTCAACATGTTTCAACTTGACCAGAGCAAAAGGGACGGTTTGAACATAACTAGTTGATCGGAATAAAAGTGTACGGGGAGTAGAATGCAAAGGTACTTTTGAACATATTGACCAAGTGTGTAAGTACATGCCCATCCCTTTCTACATGCACCAAACTATCTGACTAGTGCATGCACGGTATTTCGGAGGCAAGCATATAGCGCCCATGCCTTTCTACATGCACTCTATCTCGGTAATTCAGGCAGGGCCCCGTGTTCGCGACAGGCAGCTAACCGAATTTAAACATAACAGCTTGCGAAGCTGAACAGAGGAATCCCTAATACTTTTGCCAGGAGTAAGGTCAAGTATTGCTTCACCAACTTCCTGTTGGCTTCCATCAACCTGGGGCTGCTTCTGGTGGTTAAGAACACTTCGCCATCACTGACTGTGTTTTAAGGGAAGCCTTACGATGTCCTAACATTTTACAGGCTATTGCAATGGATAAACTGAAATATGTGAGCGGAACGATGACTTCCCCAAAAATATGAACCTTGAACAAGGAGATCCCTTCAGAGCAAATTGCACCCTGAATCCGCTGTTTTGTTTCACCTTTTGTTCCAGGGAAGTGAAACGACCCCGTGTTGGTGCAAAACTTGAGGGCGAGCCAGGAACATATAACATACACACACAGAGAGCTCCCGGAATATGAGAGAGTGGGAGGGGGGAACAAAGGTTGGTTGCCCAGCTCACCAGAGTTCTGTTGGGTGGAGTTGGCCATGCCCTGGTGAGATCCACAGGCCAAGAAAAGGCTCTGGTTTCGGTGAAACGGCTGTTGCAACCACAACTAGCGCACATATCATCAGCATCTCACCGCGCTTTCGGGCTTTACTACTGGCGCAAAATTGCAAACATCCGCAGCCTGCACCATTGTTCTAGGGGTTGATTCCCCATTATTTTCAACCATCGTTCTTTTCAAAAACCGGCTGTTTCCCCTGGGTGTTTGATGGTTTCCTGAAAAAAGGATCCCTGGAAAGAATAGGGTTGGAAGGTACCCTAGAATTGTGGATCCACAACTGCCAATCTACCTCAGGCGAAATTTGGTTGGACCCCTACAACCACTGTATGTTTGGGCCTCCTTCCCTCGCGGATCGCGGCTCGCGAATGGAGCCAACTCGATCCCTGTCCTGCACAGCCTCGGGCACCTCCAGGCCGCGCGCCAGCAATGCGGCGATGGAGGACGCCAAGGTGCATCCTGACGGCGCCGACATTCCGGCGGGTGCCTCGCTCCAGCGAGGTAACTGATACGTAGCCATGAAACCTAGATCTATCTGTCTAGGTATCTATCCGTATTTGCCTATATATACATATATATATAGTGTGTGTACGTAGGTATATAAATAAGGGCCTGCCTCTAACAAAAACTCTTTATACCAATGTTATACCAATACTACACCGATGCCATACCAATTGCATACCAGTTGTGTACTAATCTCATACCAATGTTACACCAATGTTATACCAATTTTGTAGCAACTAAAGTACCGACATGAAACAGTATGTGCGCCACAAGTTCCATTGTTTTTACAAATTGTGCAGCAATTTCCCAGAAACATCTCTGGGTCCTGGTTTCTTTTCAGACCACCAAATTAATAAGGGTACCCGCGGCTTCGCGGCACACAATGTATCACACAAGTGCCTTCGCGGAGCTTTTGGGAGTTCCCCACGAAGCTAAAATCCGTCATCTGAGAAAAAACACGCTGCTCATATAGCTATCGATCTACAAATCAAATCTGCCCATCTATTTATCTGTCTATCTATCTATAAATCTATCCGTCTGTCTATATATCTATCTAAGCTATCTAACCCAATCTACCCTAATCCAACCCAATCAGTCTATCCATATTTATGTTTTCTTGCCTTCTTGTTGTTCTTCATTTCTATCCATAAAATGTATTTACTATCTTTCTTGTTTATGTATTCCCCTATGCCTTCCTTCTCCCTCCCTCCTTCCATCCCTCCCTTCTTTCTTGCTCTGCTTTATTTACTATTCCTATCATTCAATATGTCTTCATTGCTTTCTTTGCTTCCTTTCTTACATTTCTTTCTTGATGAGTGCTTTCAGTCGTAATTTTGTTCATTATGTTGCGCTTTTGTATTTTCCTTCTTTCGGTCTGCCTTTCTGTCTTACGTCAATCTGTCTACCTGCCTACCTTATTGTTAATACACCTGTCTAGATGATGATGTCCACCCTTCTATATGTCTATCGTTCTACTTGAGGATCTGTTTATCCATGCATGCATCCATCCATCCAACCTGTCTATTATTGTCCGATTGTATATGAATAGCTGACTGATGGCATGCACCCAGGCCCTTTACCGCGGCCTCTGAGGCGTCAAGGGTGCCTAACTGGCCTAACTGCACCGAACCAGCCTTGCACTTCATGCGCCAAACCACAGGGTCATTCCCCGGCGAAATTAGAGACAATGCGCCCTAAGTGCACTGCATTCGCAAAGATTCACTTTTCGTTTCACACGCCAAGTAGGAAAAAGAGAAAGGCGCACTTTTCACATACCAGTCCATATCCAGCAGGAAACAAGCCCAAGTCCGTACCTGGTAATAAACTGGTATAATCATAAAACAAATGTTACGAAGAAGCTTCAAAGGTATTTTTTTGTTCAGAAGTCAAGGGTCCGGCCCGACACGAATCCAAAGCGGACAATGTTTGGCAAGATGGTGCCGGCAATGAACAGGAATTACGTTTAACAAACAAACTTTAACAGGGATCCTTACATTATACACCTGAACATTGCCTTGTAAATGGTGGCGTCCCTTTATTTTGGTGGAAAAAGCCATGGTTCAAGTGGGCAAAATGAATCTTTTAAGGAGCCCTGTTTGACAAGGAGTTGATCGAGGCTTGCACATCTTGACCCTTGCCATGGTTAAAGCGGACCCCTAAGATACTTTCATACGGAAGGCCAATCGCTGGTGTAATTCCAGCTGCAGTTGGTCCACTTACTCCAAGCATTGGACCAGGCTGTTGACCAGTTTCCTGGAGGTCTTTCCAAATCGGAATCCTTCTGATCTTCTTTGGAAGCTGAGGATCTGCGGAAGAAGCATGCGCGTGCAAGATCAAACATAATTTCAACCGCCGTGTTTGACATACCAGTCAGTACCAGTACAGCTGTGTCTGGCAGGAACAAGGGTTTTCGAATACCAAGCTTTTCAAATGCAAATTCAAAGCAGAAGCCCACCAGGGCCCGCAACTTTTGACATGCTTGCAACAAAAAGGAGCCCCGGCTTGCATCCGTTTCTAGGAAGGGAGGGACACTTCGATTTGGCAGCCAAAATGTGAAGAGCCTACGGAGCCCTGACAATTGTTGCATGGATCACAGTGGACGATGGAAAGGCTTGTGAAACCAAACTGCGCCGCTTCCCCACCATGGGCACCGTAATTATCAAGCAGGGTTTGCTTTTTACACCCCCCTGGGAAATGCACATGGAACCCCTGCAAGAGGGTTCAACACTTGGGAGCCTAACTTCATGTTCAATCAAAGGGGTTTTGGCCTCGAAATGCACCTGCGCGAGATCAGTCCTGTCCCATGGCTGTGCGTTGTCGGAATCATCGCAGACTTGAAGGCGATGCTTTCCTCGCAAGGCACGCACAAGCTTAATTGATTCATGCTCTGGAAGAATAACTCAAAACCAAAGAAAACCCAAACACCCTGTCAGGAACAGATGGCAGAAGCCAACAAGGACACCCACCAATGGTCTCGCTTTGGAGTAAGGCTCCTGTCCGTCGCAGAGGATATCGATGGCCTCCTCGGCACCTGAGGCTACAACCCGCGACCCTTGATTTCCTATCTCCATGTGAGCTAAAAAGCACTCCTTGAAGGATATCATCCAAAAAGCATCTGCTTTACAACGGGGAATTCGAACATCACGGGGTAAAGGTGGTTTTTCTTCACTGGCCCAAGTGTATCCCGTCTATGTTCTTTAAGCCGCCCTGCGGAAATGCATCTTTGCTGTTGGCTTGTCTCAAAAGTGATCCCTCCAGACTCCAGTGCCAGGCTGCAGCCCTCCGCCCCACATCGGCTTGGGCCACCCCGCCCTCCTTCAGGTGGCCGCCTGCGAAGGTACGATCCGGAAGCCTCAAGATCTAAGGGTTCTATAGTTTAACGCCCCAAGCCACCAATCCAAATCAACGTGGGCTTAGAAAACACATATGGACGAGACCAGATGCCCGCCATTCAAGCAGCCCACGTGCCTACGGCCTGTGAAGATATGTCTGCATGAGCTCTGAACCCCTGTATTGGTGTCGCGCTTTGCTGCAACATACCTGTTGGCAATGTTGATGCGTGCAATGTATCTGAAATGTGTATATATATATATATATGGTACAGCGTTGCCAGCCCCCCCCCCCCTCCCCCCCCTGTGGTTGTGGTCCTGTGGTTGGGTTGTGGTGGTTTAGGGTTGGTTTAGAATTGGTTTAGGGTATATTTAGGGTGTATTTAGGGTTAGTTTAGGGTTGGTTGAGGGTTGATTTAGGTTGATTTATGTTGATTTAGGGATGGTTTCGGGTTGGTTTAGGTTTAGAGGTGTACGGTTTAGGGTTTGGTTTAGGGTTTGGTTTAGGGTGTATTTAGGGTTGGTGTAGGTTTAGGGTTTATTGTTTACGGATTGGTTTAGGGTGTATTTGGGGTTAGTTTAGGGTTGGTTTAGGGTTAGTTTAGGGTTGGTTTATGTTGGTTTAGGGGTTGGTTTAGATTTAGAGGTCTACGGTTTAGGGTTTGGTTTAGGGTGTATTTAGGGTTGGTTTAGGTTTAGGGTTTATTGTTTACGGATTGGTTTAGGGTGTATTTGGGGTTAGTTTAGGGTTGGTTTAGGGTTAGTTTAGGGTTGGTTTATGTTGGTTTAGGGGTTGGTTTAGATTTAGAGGTCTACGGTTTAGGGTTTGGTTTAGGGTGTATTTAGGGTTGGTTTAGGTTTAGGGTTTATTGTTTACGGATTGGTTTAGGGTGTATTTGGGGTTAGTTTAGGGTTGGTTTAGGGATAGTTTAGGGTTGGTTTGTGGTTAGTGGCGGGTTGGCTTGTCCTGCGGGTGGGGGTGCCGGGGTTTCTGGGTGCGAGTTCAGGGGGTCGGGGTGGGGGTGGGACCGTAGGTGCCAGGATCCGGGGGCTCGGGGTCTCGGGCCTGGGGGGCGGGCCCTGGGGGACCATACCATATGGGGGGGGGGGGGGGTAGCAACACGGAACACGGGACCATATATATGCACATATGCATCTTGTATGTGTGTGTGTGTGTGTGCTGTGCGTTTCGACGAACGGAGGTTGGGGGGCTTAGCTTCTTTTTCTCCACTTTGAAACTGGCCACGGAGATAAAATTCGGCGCCTTGCTGCCGTCCGGTCGGAAGGTGACCTAACACATCTTGATTCCTGGATTCCTCGTTCGAAACTTGCAGGTTGTGAGGAAAGCAACTATTTATGAACTTGAGAAGCACGTTTGGAGAAAAACCCGCCTGACATGGACCCATGAACGGCTCCATTAGCGGCACCGTTGCCAAGAAGGGCCTTTGGCTTCCAAGCCCCCTGAAAAACATAAAACCAATTCCAGCTCTGCAACCAACAAGAGACAATAGCAAAGATTCATTTCAGCAAGTGGTAGTTCAATTTGACGCCATGGACAAACGAACAAGCGGGGATACGGAGGGAGCGGGGATATGGGGGGATTCCCTTGGCGCCATTTCCCATATCAAACTTAGTCAAGGTGCATCAAACGGGCTAATCCTCAACCGTATCCAACTGGTTCCCCTTGTATCCCTAGTTGGTTTCCCTGGCAGCCCGGCTGGCCTTTCAGGAGCACCCAGCGTGGGCCCATGGCGGCCAAATCCCGGACGGCCTGCTCCATCTCAGGCACCTCACGCCAGCTTGGAGCTGTAAAAGCGGCGGCTGCGACGGTTTCGTGTTTTTTTTTCACCCGGGCTCAAGGGGCAACTGGAGGACACAATCCCAGAGGGTCCAAGTATCTTCTAAGGAGGTACTGAACGACCCCTTTTCACCCACCCTGAGGAGGTACTTGGACCCTCTGGGACTTATTGAGAACCTGGGCCCAGTCAGCGCCACTGGTCAGCAAGACTTGAGGAAGCGGAGCCGAACTCGTAGGGTCGAAATGGCTTCGAAGGGCTTTTGCTGAGGTCTCGGTTCTACTGCCACATGTTCGGCATCAGGTCCGGTTTTTTCTTGGGTTTTGTTTTTCCCCCAACAGCTGAAAGCTGTGGGGTCTCAGCCCAAATAAACTCCGGAATTACCTGAGCTTGTTTGTTTTTCGATTTTCAGCGCTGAAAGATCCGTGCCTTATGGATAAATACGCATGGGGAGCGCCTGGTTATGACGCAGCGCCCACACCCAAGACTTGCGAAGAAAAAGTAACTCTTTACAGGGATCCTTACATTATACACCTGAACATTGCCTTGTAAATGGTGGTTCCCTTTATGTTGGTGGAAAAAGCCGTGTTTTAAATGGGCAACATGTATCTTTTTAAAAGCCCTGCTTTACTTCCCGGATGCATTGGCCAAGAAACATCTAACCTGTGCAATCACAATTTGAGCCTCCAACAAATACACATTTTCCCAGGGTCCCCAGTAGCTCCATGGCAAGTGTTTCCCTTTCGGGTTTTCGGGTGGCTTCTGGACTTCCTCTCAAAAACCTTCTAGGCACCCGGCGGAGGAAATGGATCGGCCCAGCAGCAGGGAGGCCTCACGGCGAGTCCCAATCCGCAGGCGGGAAAGGAACCGCGAAGGTGGGTCTGTCGCCTGGGTCCTCCAGTAGGGAGGTTAGAATAAGGGTACCAACTTCCTTTTTGTTTTTTCTAAAGTCCATTTTAGCAGGGGAACCCTCCCCCTCCCCCAAAAAAGAAACGGTAAAAGGGCACTACTGGGGGAACTAGTCTCCCCCAGAATGGGAAATTCTACTTTTGGCTTTCCCCTTAAAATCACAACAAAAGGAGCAGCCTCAAAATCAAGATGCCCCCATGTGGACAAGCAAAAGTGGATGACTTCACAAACCTCAATGGGGAGTCGACTTTCAGGGCTTCTTTTCTGAGTGGGAGCCATAGGGCTGGAAAAACATGTCCCATCCATCACTTGGAATCCTGACTGTGGGAGTTGTTGCACCCAGCTATGTGCAATCATTTTGGCAAGGGCACTTCTTTTACATTTGAAGGGGGGTCTAAAAGGACACGCCGCCTCTTCTTGTTTTGGTCACATCCTGTCTTTCAGCCGGTTATGAAGGGACACCCGGGTATATCAATACAAAAAGGCGAGAGTCCTGAATCATAAAGCATCCTTCGATCTTCACCAGAAACTCTCACAAAAGGAGCCCCCCAAAAAACATGGCTTTTGGGCTACCATGTCATTCAGCGGGGCTCCGCATTGGGACGCTCTTTCAGCGGTGAACCCACGGCCGTGGCGCAATGAGTATATAAACAGCATGTGGAAGCAAAACGGGAGATGATACCCATAGTATCCAAACAACCATGTTGGCTGGAGGTTGCTGGCTTCGAACAAGTCAGATTATGGCTTCGTCCTTCCAAAGCATTCGCGATCCCAGTTGTTCGGCGACTCTCAAGGTGACCCTGGCAGACGGAAGCACACGGATCAAACAAACAATCGATGCCATTGATCCCGAGCCCTGGCTGTTCCGGATTCCAGGCGCCAGCCTCTGGCAAGTTGGGCGTGATCAGTGTCGCCAGCGGAAACCTGGGGCCGCTGGCTGTTGCTGGCACTGCCCCCTGGGCACGGGTAAAACATGGTTCTGCTTGTGGTTGATGGGAAAAGCATGAGTCTCAAAAAAGTCATGCTTCTGGAAACAAAGTTCAAGGGCAAAGCCCCGAGAGCATCCAGGCGCGTCCAAAGTCCCTGCCCCTTCAATGCCATGACGGGGGACTTTGCTGCGTGAGCGACCCCCAAGCATCTTGCTGCTTCGGGGGTACCTGGTGTTGCCTTTTGGTTTTGCTTCGGCAGGGCAACGTCATCGCTACGCAACCACCGTGGGGAGGGGGGGTTAAGGAAGCCAGAGTAAAACTATGGCCGTTGGCCTGTTCAAAGAAGCACGGATAAAGGTTCCAAGCTAATGGTCACCTTGTTGGCATTGGGTATGGGGCGACTGCAGCGCTGCAAGCTCACCTACGGCACTAAGATTAGAGCCTGCCGGTGAGTTGTCATTGGTCTCGACACCTGTTCAAAATCCCCAAAGTGTAAACACAGAACAATCCGGCCACTGCGGAAAGATCCAACCAACATCTTCCAATTCAATGAACCACAAAGGGGCCATTCTGGCAAACGTCTTTGGGTTTACTTCGCAGTGGCGGGGCCGTCTTCCAGCCCCAAACCAAGCAGCAGCTGCTCCTTGACGCATTGGATTGCATCCTCCTGGCACGGCGCTTGGTTCAACCAACCGGGTTGCAAAAGGCTCGTTGCGCCCGCAAATGCACAATCACTATGCCGACACAGGGGGAAAAGGGGGAAGGTTGGGCGCTGCTCAAACCTTACATGCCCCACTCACTCCAAGACGATCCAATTAACTCATGGCGAGGTATGTGAGGAACAAAGCTTTGTTCTTTGCAGACCTCGTTGCTAAACAAGGACATCCAAAGCAGCAAGCAATGACAAAAAACACCGCCAGTGCAGTTCTGGATATTCCTGACAAGGGGAACCTCTTCTCGGATGGCCTTCAATGGACCGCAATAGGAAAAGAAACAATACGGCTCACATGGGCGTGGGAAAAGCGTGCAAGCCACATCCCAGGGAGCACTCGAATATTGCTTGGATTGCGCACAAGACTCAAAATGATTTAGTCATTACGCTTGCCTTTCTAAGCATCAAATGAATGCAATAGAACAGAAACCACAAATGTGCTACATCCAATGTGTTTCCAGACTGCTGTTGGCTTTCATCTCTCTCTCTCTCTCTCTTTCTCTCTCGCTGTCTCTCTCTCCCTCTCTCCTGCAGCAGTGTGTGCCCACTGGTGGACACCATCACAGGGTCCACTACCAGCATCTTCCCAGGCGCCAGCTCCTCCAGTTTGACATCCCCTTTAAAAGGAGCACAAGGCAGCACAACGCGCCTTTTTTGATCCAACAGACCCAAACGGAACTCGATGCGCTTCGCAGTATTGGTCCAGGGCTGTTTCAAAAATGTGGTCGGCACATGTCGGCACAAGTCGGTAAACGTTTGACCCCTGGCAAAGGAACGAAGAACACTACATCAATTGTCCACCTTTGTGAGTTGATCATCTTGTCGACAGCTGACACTCCTGCAAAGAGCTTGCCACCGCTTTCACAATGTCGGCGGTTGCCAGCATGCCGGTCTTCACCTTGGTCGAACGTATCGGCCCGGTCCGTGACTATGGTTGCGTTTGTCTGCCCGCTGCTGCATACTTTAGTCATGCTTGAGCCAATGTGGAACTTCAGCTTGTCAGGTTTCCTTCGAACAAAGGCGCTCATGTACTGCAAATGGTTTTTTGAACCAATGCAACCTACATCGGCCAGCATGGCGCAGACTTTGCTTTATTTTTTTGGTCAGAGGTGCCACATCGGTGCCAAGGTCGGACAGCACTGACTCAAGCTGCCTTGGCTCGCTGGGAGAGTCCCGGCCATCCATGAAACACATTTCCCGCCATGCACATGTTGGTGGGCGGGCGCGTGGGTCCAAACTATGGCCACAACACTGCGGCAAGCAGAAGGCAAACAAATCACCTGGTTGCTGGGAATTGAAGAATGGGTTCGCAAACTCAATTCGCGTAGCATTGAAGAGTGGCAAAAAGACGAACCCAGTCAGGCAATTGGATATTAGTTCTATTTGGGGGATTTTTGGCGGACATGTTGTTTTCATCGAGATTTGAGCAGCAGCCAGCCATGTTTAAGCGGGTGTCCAACCTCTAAAAGTCGTGCCGTTGGGGACACACCGAACGCAATTCATTTTGAAACCGCCAACTTCTTAACGTTGCCGGCTAGGAATCTGTCAAGACGGGCGTAGACTTGCCAAGAAAAAGCCACCAAAACCAATCGTGTCGCACGCAAGGGTCAACTTGCTCTCCTACCTGGTCAAGCCACACAAATCCATGCCCCAAAAGCCGTGGGCGGTGAAAACCGCCTGTCTGGATGTGCAGCTTCAAAATCCAAATCAAAACTTTCGCCCTCGGACATCCAACACAATCCGCATTTCGAACTCCCACCCCTGGAGCTGTCGGTCTTGAGCGCCCCGAATCGGCCGAGCAGCTGCTTGAGGAAATCGATGGAAATGGGGAGGATGCCCTGGACAACGACATTCCATTCATCCGGACGGCTTGACCCGCGCAGGTTCCCTGTGTTTTACAAAGAAACAGCTCCAAAAAGCAGCCCCCTCACCAAAACCAAAAAAACAATGGATATGGCTTTAATCGCGGATAGACCCTGAGGCCCAGTGGCGGACATTGAACATGCATGATGGCATTTTGCAATCGTTGACAATGAACATCATGGCCCGTCATAGGGTGGTTCAATCATGAAAACCTTGCAGGTGGTTTAACCATGAAAACCATAGCTCAATCATAGCCACCAGTGAGAAACCAAACACTTTTCCACACGGAGAGTTCCGAAAAGGGGCCGAAGGTTCACTCCAAGCTTGGTTTGTTGTCACGGCATCAAAACCTGGGAAGGAGGTGGCGCCATCCATCCATCCATCCATCCGTCCATCCATCCATCCATCCATCCACCCATCCACCCATCCATCCATCCACCCATCCACCCATCCACCCATCCACCCATCCACCCATCCACCCATCCACCCATCCACTCATCCACCTATCCACCTATCCATCTACCCAGCCAGCCGTCCAGCCATCCATCTATCCAGCCAGCCGGCCGGCCGACCGGCCATCCAGTTATCCATCACCCCTTGAGTGGATTGGCCAAACATTGTCCAAAGGAGTGAGATTGTGTTCTTTTTAGCAACAAAAAAAACAACAACTCGGGGAAAGGGCCCCTTATGGGCGAGGTTCCGTGTGTTGCACCGAGTTCTCCCTCCCCCCCAGGGCGGCCGCGTGGCGCCTGCACCCCGCGGCTGTTCTGCGCCGTGAGGGCGGTGACCGCAGTGGTGCCGAAGGCGCCGAGCACGGTGCAGCTCTTCAGATCCGCCTGGAGCCGTCGCCCTGTTCAGCCTTAAACGGGGGCAGGGAGGGGCGGGGACGGGGCAAGGGCGGGAGGGGTTAGGAGGTTAGGAGGTTTGGGGGGGAGTTTGGGTTGTAGTGTAAATGCGAGCCTGGCAGACCAAAAAATCAAATTCGGACATCACACCAATTCTCTAACAACTTACAGCTTGTGATCGGAGCCCCTTCTGGCCCGCGACCCCAACCGACGGGCTCCCAACATCCAAAACTTGTTGGTGTAGCATTGGTTTCCCTTGGAACTGACCGCAACAAATGGCTGTGGGTCAAAAATAGGTACCCAAACTGGCTTGCCCTTGTAAGAGGAAACATGGACTAAAATCTGCGGTCCATTTCCTGGATAATTTTGACCTCAAATGACCCCTCTGGCCCCCAACCCATCCAAACCTTGTGGGTATGGCATTGGTTTCCCTTGCAACTGACCCCAGCAAATGGAACCCTTGAAAAAAGCTGTGAGTCTCAAGCACGCCAGTGGAGCTACTCTTGGGATCTGCGAAGCTCCGAGTACCTCGCGCCTGCAGCCCGGCACCGCCGCCGCTGTCCGAGCCTGACAAACCGAATCCGAGCGGATTGGACGCCTGATGCATTCACCTCACTGGTTTGTGGGTGTGCTCTGGTGCCAAAATTCGGACCGATCTGATTTCTTGTTGGGCTTGCCCATCTCTTTCGTGGCAACATCCCTAAAACAAAAGGGCCAAAGAACCCACCTAAAATCCGGAACAGCCCCATAAAAGCTTCAGAAAACCCCCCACGAACCTGCCAACCCCCCCCCCCCCAAAAAAAAAAAAAAACAAAAAGAAACAAAAAAAACAATTCTGGGAACCGTCCAAGCCCTAAAACCGACCCCGAAACCCCAAAACCAGCCTGCAATGATCAGCACCCGCGGAGGCATCAGCCCCGCAGCTTGCAGCAGTGGATCCGGGCGCGGAGGATCCAAGCGGCTGCCACAGATCCTGACGGGCGCAGGGGCTCTCGTGGAAAACTCGGCTCCCGGTAGACCGGAAGAACATTTTAAAAACAAGAAAAACACACAAACAACTGCATAGATGTCCATATGGTTGTGGTTTTGGGATCCCATGTTGGTTGGGATTGGTGAATTCACCACCCAATTTAGGCTCCATTCTAGTGGGGATTGGGATGTTCACTGGCGGTACGGGCTTTTGACCCATCGCCATATCTTTATCTGTATTTATATTCATCCTATTCTATGTTATTTACCTATCGATTGAGTTATTCATGTATCGATCTATTCGATAAACATGTGTACTGTGTTTGCAGGTTTGTGTGTACATATTAATCCTTGTCGGCGTGTCTTAAGATAGGGGGCCCCAAGCATGGATTCATTTGTCCCGTTAGTTTTCTTAAACAACCCCTGCCCTCAAAAGGCAGGCCCATATATCACTGTTCTATCGGAATGCAAAATGGACATGTTCCACATTTGCACTGCCTGTCTCAAAAAGCAATGCTTTTGTACCCTCTTCGTACATTCTCCACACGTACCTATCCCAGGCAACCAGAGGCTGGGCCCCATTCTGGGGCCAATGGAAAGGGAACCAACAAACACCCAAACCTCACTGATTTTGACTGAGCCAGCCCCGCTGGCTGCAGCATCCAAAAGCCACAAACTGTTTGAACCAGGACTGACATCTGGAAAAGCGAAAGCCCAAAACGCTTGCGTTCGGACAGGAATAATTTCGTGGATTTCTGGATCCGGGCCCGATTGCTTGTTGAGTCTTCGGGAATTCATGCGGACAGGTCGCTGGTCCAATTGCGCCCGCTCATGCTGCAGCATCTGGTGCAGGATGTCTGGAGCGACCCGTCAAGATCAACCGTCAGGTGCCACAAGCAATGGCAAATCTGCAACTGTTCTTTTTGTGCAAGGCAGATGCCTGACTCGAAAACAGGTCAGGCAACGGTGATTTCCTGTTGGTTTCCCTTGAAGCCCGTCAATAAAAGGGTAGCCTCAGCAAAAGACACACCCGAGTAATGCCGCCGTTATAGTATGAGCCCAGTCGCCCAGTTCAGCATTTCGCTGTGAGTCCAGCAAGGCGCTCAACTGGGCAGAGCTGGCGCCGAAAGCATCTGAGGCGCCTCAGGTCCACCACGCAGGGATAGGGTTGTGCAAAAGCCTGGCCCTCAATGAGCCAACTTGTGCTACCTGCCAAGTGTCTTCAGCAGAAGGGCATGCCCCATCCACCCCCGAACCCAAGAAACTAGGTCATGTTGCCCTTATTTCAAGGCTACTGAATATATCAAAGCTTATATGCACGTGTCTCACTTTGGCGTCGTGGTTTCGTGGTGGAAGCCCGCTTCAAGTCGGGCACAAGCTGTGGACTGGCGAGGCGCACAAGGCCAGCCACTCACCGGGCCCTCTGAGCTTGGCCGCTTCGGGGTAGGCTGCCAGCACCGCTCCGGCGATCCAGTGGTACAAGCGGAGCCGGATGCCCAAGAGCAGGTCGGCCGCGGCGCGAGTCCTGAAGAGAGGGCCATGTCTTTCCTAAAAACTTTAGGGTCCCCTTTTGGATGGCGGCATTCTGTGGCGCAATGAGGTGCTGCCGTTGGGTGGGCTCCTGATTGCTTCCCCAAGCACATAAAATGATCGGAAGGGAGCATTCCGGGCAACTCGGACATGTGGAAGTCACGGCACGTGTTAGGCTTGCGTCTCACCCTGCTTCCAAAAGAAACCAAACATTGAACAAGTTTTTTTTAGAAGGGGCTTCGCATGGGCGTGTTTGTAGATAGCCCGAGCTTAGCAAGCCCGGAACGCAAAAAAACGTGAGGCAAGCAAACCTCTTTCGGAACACCCAACCGTGTTTCCTGGCAGACCACGGATTCCAACTGGCCCCGAGGAAGATGATCAAAGAGCCGTGAAACGAATACCACGAGCCCATCCTGTGGGAGCTCAACGAGTCCGAGGCGGAAGCCCCGCAGGGCAGAAGCGCTGCTTCTTCCCTGAGCCGCGCCTGCGCCTCGGGGATGGAAAGGGACGAGGGGTCCGTGGGGTCTGGTGGGATGGTTTGGGGAAGGCCTTGGCGCAAATTGGCGAGCCTTGGGGGAGGTTTCAGGGATGGGGGGAGGTTTGGCCAATGTGGCAATCAAGCAATCCAAATCCAGCGAACATCCTTGCTGCTTGATCGAAATAGCCTTGCCAGAACAATCTTGCATTTGGGGAGCCACATACTTTCCGGTAAGCAGGTGTATTTTCTTGCTGGTGCTCAGCAAGGAATGAGGGAATGACCCCAACCCATCCAACTGGTGGTTTCCGTTTGCGGGACGCGACCCCTGGATTCATTCCCTGCAAGTTTTTACGGGGAGGGGGGGGGGGGAAGGAAGTGAGCGGCTGAGCCCTGCACTGCCGCCAGAGGTTCCGAAACGGAGCCCAAGCGGGCGTCCAAGATCTTCAGCAAGGGCCCGGAGTGCTGCACCTCGCAACGGCACGTGCCAAGATGAACACCTTAAATCTCACAAATGCCCCTAGAAAATACTCAAGAGCTCTTGGTGAACAAGGGTCCGAAGGAATGAATTGGCGATCCGCCATCATTTCAGGGACGTTTTTGGGGTACAGAATGCCGCGCCCGACGCGCCGCAACCAGCCCGGCTCGATCGCCCGGCTCGCCCATCGCCCGGAAAAACCGCCGAGGGGCGAAGGCATCCCAGTACGTCGAGCCCTGAGAAAGCGAGCGGAAGAAGGGGTGCAGCAGGCACTGGCGCCGCAGAAAGCGCGACCTGACCGGTGAGTGGCATCGACCCCACTGCCCAGGAAAAACAGGCACTGAAGGGCATATGTTGGGGGTGGTTTGGGTTGGTTGGAAGCATGTTAAAGCGCTTGTGAGCTTCACTGGACAACCCTGGCTTCGCGCTTGGCACGGCGAAAGCTGTATGATGACGCCTATGGCAACTCAAACTGTCCCAGACATCTCAGGCCCCTTGGGGTGCCCCAGTCCTGCAATCCCAAACGCATGGACTGTCCGCCAGAGCGGCGCCGGATCAGGAAGTGAAGGATGAAAAAGAAGGAGCCCCTAAATAGGGACCCGAGCCAAGAGACTTGATGAAACACCGCTTTCTGGGTACCATCCTGCTTGTTTTAGTTGGAATGGGGTTGCAGGGCACGAAGCCCAATCACCCCACGATCATGGAAGAACATCTGTATCTCTGCCTCTTTTGGCCAAGGGGTTTGAGCCAATCGTGACAGCCAAACCAGCGGCACGTTCGAAGCGTCAGAGAGGCCTCGGCAGCTCCCAGTGCTCTGAAAAGACCCCGGCCATGGCTGCGTTTCAGCAAGCCCGCCAAGCAACAGATAGATTGAATATATCTAGGTTCCAAGCTGGAAAAAATGCCTGAAGGACCTGAAATTAGCTGATCACAACTTCAAGAACTCGGAACTCGATTTGCTGCGGTCAGGTGGGAAAACTGCTTGGAGACAATGGGGTGCAGCCACATGCCACCCGTCTGCTCATTGATCTCAATGTGCTGCGGGGTTATGAAGCCGGGTCTGCACGACGCCATTTTTACATGCCTGCAGGTTTCCGCTAGCACAAACAACTAAGCCGCCCCTGGACTTTAGAAACAGTGGGCAGTCCATGGGGTGAACATCGAGGTCGGTTGCAGGCCTACCGCCTACCCCCGGTGCAAGATAGCCAAGGCTGCAGGATGTGGCCAAAGGTGGCAGCATCCCACCCACACGCATCCGCAGATTATTCTCTAACACAAAGGCACAAAGACACAAAGACGCAAAGACACAAAGACGCAAAGACACACACACACACAAGCACGCAAACAGACAACACACAAATGTAAACACAAGCACACACACACACAAACACACAATCACAGAAACACACAAACACGCAAACACAAACACAACACAACACAACCAAACACACCAACACAAACACGCAAACACAAACACAAACACAAAAACAAACACAGCACACACACAAACACGCAAATGCCCACGCAAACAAAATGGCAACCACACAAGCACCCAAACGCGCAAACACACACACACACACACTCACTCACTCACTCACTCACTCACTCACTCACTCACTCACTCACTCACTCACTCACTCACTCACTCACTCACTCACTCACTCACTCACTCACTCACTCACTCACTCACTCACTCACTCACTCACTCACTCACTCACTCACTCACTCACTCACTCACTCACTCACTCACTCACTCACTCACTCACTCACTCACTCACTCACTCACACACTCACACACTCACACACTCACACACTCACACACTCACACACTCACACACTCACACACTCACTCGACACAGACACAGACACAGACACACAGAGACACAGACACAGAGACACAGACACAGAGACACAGACACAGAGACACAGACACAGAGACACAGACACAGAGACACAGACACAGAGACACAGACACAGAGACACAGACACAGAGACACAGACACAGAGACACAGACACAGACACAGACACAGAGACACAGAGACACAGACACAGAGACACAGACACAGAGACACAGACACAGAGACACAGACACAGAGACACAGAGACACAGAGACACAGAGACACAGAGACACAGACACAGAGACACAGACACAGAGACACAGACACAGAGACACAGACACAGAGACACAGACACACTGACACACAGACACACTGACACACAGACACACAGACACACAGACACACAGACACACAGACACACAGACACACAGACACACAGACACACAGACACACAGACACACAGACACACAGACACACAGACACACAGACACACAGACACACAGACACACAGACACACAGACACACAGACAGAGGACACACACAACACAGAGACACACACACACAGAGGGGACACACCACACTCAGGAGGCCACACACAGAGACACACAGAGACACACACAGAGACACACACAGAGACACACACAGAGACACACACAGAGACACACACAGAGACACACCCAGAGACACACACAGAGACACACACAGAGACACACACAGAGACACACACAGAGACACACACAGAGACACACACAGAGACACACACACAGAGACACACACACAGAGACACACACACAGAGACACACACCCAGAGACACACACACAGAGACACACACACAGAGACACACACACAGAGACACACACACAGAGACACACACACAGAGACACACACACAGAGACACACACACAGAGACACACACACAGAGACACCCACACAGAGACACACACACAGAGACACACACACAGAGACACACACACAGAGACACACACACAGAGACACACACACAGAGACACACACACAGAGACACACACACAGAGACACACACACAGAGACACACCCACAGAGACACACACACAGAGACACACACACAGAGACACACACAGAGAGACACACACAGAGACACACACAGAGACACACACAGAGACACACACAGAGACACACACAGAGACACACACAAAGACACACACAGAGACACACACAGAGACACACACAGAGACACACACAGAGACACACACAGAGACACACACAGAGACACACACAGAGACACACACAGAGACCCACACAGAGACCCACACACAGACACACACAGACACACACAGACACACACAGACACACACAGACACACACAGACACACACAGACACACACAGACACACACAGACACACACAGACACACACAGACACACACAGACACACACAGACACACACAGAC